TCTCTTCATCCCTTAGAGTCCTTCATGTTTCCTAGTTTCTTTGGTGAAGAGGATTATAGGCTGGTAATCCTTTGCTCTATGTTTAAAATTCATATATGAGTGAGTACATACCATGTTTGTCTTTTTGTGACTGGGTTACCTCATTCAATATGGTTTCTTCTAGTTCCATCCATTTGCCTATGAATTTCAAGATTCCATTCCTTTTTTCTGCTGAGTACTACTCCATTGTATAAATGCACCACATTTTCTGTATTCATTCTTCAGTTGAAGGGCATCTAGGTTGCTTCCAGGTTCTGGCTATTACAAACAATGCTGCTATGAATATGGTTGAACATATGTCCTTATTGAATGAACATGCACCTTTTGGGTATATACCCAAGAGAGGAATGGATGGATGTTGAGGTAGATTGATTCCCATTTTTCTGAGCAACTGCCATACTGATTTCCAGAGTGGTCTTACAAGTTCACACTCCCACCAGCAATGGAGGAGTGTTCCTTCATCTCCACATCCTCCCCAGCATAGATTGTCATTGGTATATTTGATTTTAGCCATTCTGACAGGTGTGAGGTGGTATCTCAGAGTTGTTTTGAGTTGCATTTCTCTGATGGCCAATGATTTGGAGCACTTTCTTAAGTGTCTTTCAGCAATTTCAGATTCCTCTTTTGAAAATTCTGTTTAGTTCTGCACCCCACTTTTTAATGTCATTGTTTGGTGTTTTGGTAGCTAGCTTCTTGAGCTCCTTGTATATTTTGGAAATCAGCCCTCTGTCAGATGGGGGGTTGGTAGAGATCTTTTCCCATTCTATGGGTAGTCATTTTGTCTTACTGATTGTGTCCTTTGCCTCACAGAAGCTTCTCAGTTTCAGGAGGTCCCATTTATTAATTGCAGACCACAGTGTAATGTTCAGGAAGCGGTCTCCTGTACCAATTTGTTCAAGGGTAATTCCCACTTTCTCTTCTAGAAGATTCAGTGTGGCTGGATTTATGGGGAGATCTTTGATCCATTTGCATTTAAGTTTCATGCATGGTGACAGGTATGGATCTATCTGCAATCTTCTGCATGTCTGAATCCAATTGTGCCAGCACCATTTGTTGAAGATGCTATCTTTTTTCCATTGTATGGATTTAGCACCTTTGTCAAAAATAAGGTGTTCGTAGGTGTGCGGGTTAATATCTGGGTCTTCAATTCGATTCCATTGGCCTATCTGTCTATTCTTGTGCAATACCAAGCTGTTTTCAGAACTATGGCTCTATAGCAGAGCTTGGAGTCAAGGATGGTGATGCCTCCAGAAGATCCTTTATTGTAAAGAGTTGTTTTGGCTATCCTGGGTCTTTTGTTTCTCCATATAAAGTTGAGAATTGTTCTTTCAAGGTCTGTGAAGAATTGTCT